GGGGGGGTCCCCAGTGCTGGGGGGTCCCCTTGTCCCCGGGGTGTCCCTGGGGGGTCCCTGGGGTGTCTCTGAGGGGTCTCTCCTGTCCCCCTGCAGGTTCGGGGTGTCCCTGGGGGGGTCCCCCATGCTGGGGTGTCTCTGAGGGGTCTCTCCTGTCCCCCCAACAGGTTCGGGGTGTCCCTGGGGGGGTCCCCCGTGCTGGGGGCGGCCGCCTGGCCCTGGCCCTGGGTGCCGGTTGTGGGGGTGCTGCTGTCGGCGGGGGGGGCGGGGCTGCAGGCCCTGCTGGGGGGGTCCCGCCTGCTGCGGGGGCTGGCCCGGACACAGGCCCTGCCCCTCCCACACGTGAGTGTCCCCAAGGGGGGGTCCCCATGGCCCTAAAGGGGGGGCTGGGGTCCCTGGGGGGGGGGGCCTAATGTGCCTAAAGGGGTCCTGGGGTCTCGGAGGGGGGTGCCCTGCAGTCCCTAAGGGGGTCCCCAATGTCCCCAGGGGGGTCCCCATGGCCCTAAGGGGGGGCTGGGGTCCCTGGGGGGGGGCCCTGATGTGCCTAAAGGGGTCCTGGGGTCTCCAGGGGGGTCCCCTGCAGTCCCTAAGGGGTCCCCAATGTCCCCAAGGGGGTCCTGGGGTCTCCAGCGGGGGGGTCTGGGGTTGTTAAGGGGGTCCCCGATGTCCCTAAGGGGGTCCTGGTGTCCCTGGGGGGGGCCTAATGTGCCTAAGGGGGTCCTGGGGTCTCCGGGGGGGGCCTTGCAGTCCCTAAGGGGGTCCCCAATGTCCCCAAGGGGGTCCCCGATATCTCTAAGGGGGTCTTCGATGTCCTAAGGGGGTCCTGGGCTCTCCGGGGGGGAACCCTGCTGTCCCTGGGGGGTCCTTGGTGTCTCTGGGGGTCCCTGATATCCCTTGGGGGGGTCGCTCCTGTCCCTGGGGGTCCCCCCGTCCCTGACCCCCCCGTGACCCCCCCGTGTCCCCCCAGGCCCTGTCCCGGGGTCGGCTCTGGCCGTTGGTGGCCACGGCGGCCACGGCCACTCTGGGGGTCCTGCTGGGCTCCCTGGACCTGCTGGCGCCGGTTCTGTCCGTGTGAGTGACCCCTTCAACCCCCCCGGTGATGTCACACCCCTCTGATGATGTCACACCACTGTAATTACATCATACCCCTCTGATGACATCACACCCACTCTGATGATGTCAATCCCTGATGACATCACACTCTATTTGATGATGTCAACCCCCCTCTGATGACATCACATCCCTCTGGTGATGTCATACCCCCCGTGATGTCACGCCCCCTCTGATGACATCACACCACCCTAATTACATCATATCCCATCTGATGACATCATCCAGACGACATCACGCACCGATGACATCACCCTGCTCTGATTATGTCACACTCCCAATGACACCACACCCCATCTGATGACATCACACTCCCTCTAATGACACACCCCCCAATGACATCACACACCGATGATATCACCCCGGTCTGATTACGTCACGCTCCTGATGACATCACGCTCCCTCTGATGACATCACACCCCCTCTGATTACATCACACCGGCTCTGATTACATCATATCTCCTTTGATGACATCACACTCCCAGTGATGTCGCACCCTCTGTGATGACATCACACCCCTCTGGATGACATCACACCCCTCTGATGATGTCACGCCCCCATGATGACGTCATACCCCCCTCTGGTGACATCACTGCAGGTTCTGGCTGACGTCGTACCTGGGGCTGAACTTGGCCTGTGCCCTCCAGGGCCTGTTGCCCACCCCGGGCTGGAGCCCCCGGTGCCGCCTCTACCACTGGTGAGTGACCACTGAGTGACCCCCGAGTGACCACAGTGACCCCTGAGTGACCCCTGAGTGACTGCAGTGACCCCTGAGTGATCCTGAGTGACGTTGAGTGACCCTGAGTGACCCCTGTGTGACCACTGAGTGACCACAGTGACCGTGATTGACCCCTGAGTGACCACTGACTGACCACTGACTGACCACAGTGACCCCTGAGTGACCACAGTGACCCGTGAGTGACTCCTCAGTGACCACACTGACCCCTGAGTGACCACTGAGTGACCACTGAGGACCCTGAGTGACCACAGGGACCAATAGTGACTCAGAGTGATCGACAAAGTGACCCTGAGTGACCCCTGGGGACCCCTCAGTGACCACAGTGACCCCTGAGTGACCCTGAGTGACCGATAGAGACCCACAGTGACCCCAGAGTGACCCCCCTGAGCCTCACCTGTGCCAGGTGCCCTCACCTGTGCCCCCTGTCCCTCAGGGGCCTGTCCTGTGCCTGGGGCTGATGTTGGTGACGCGCTGGTACTGTGCCAGGTGCCCTCACCTGTGCCAGGTGCCCTCACCTGTCCCACCTGTCCCTCAGGGGCGAGTCCCTGGGTGGGGCCGTGCTGTGCCTGGGGCTCATGTTGGTCACCTGACCTCACCTGTCCTAGGTACCCTCACCTGTCCCACCTGACCCCCACCTGTCCCTTCTGCCCTCACCTGTCCCACCTGCCCCTCACCTGTCCCAGGTGCTCTCACCTGTCCCACCTGCCCCTCACCTGTCCCACCTGCCCTCACCTGGCCCACCTGACCCTCTCCTGTCCCACCTGCCCTCACCTGGCCCACCTGCCCTCACCTGGCCCACCTGACCCCCGCCTGTCCCACCTG